AGGGATTGCAGCCAACAGGTAGAGAGGACCTCTATGAAAGATTCAAGAAAATAAAAGGTGTATACAGCAGTAAAAACTGCCCAGTAAACAAGGATTTGGAACTGGTTTGGATTATAAAGTGTACCTTAAAAAATTTATCATTTCAATTTTGTTCCTTCATTTTCCTTTTCTTTTCATCTTTATATATTATTTTTTATCTGGTTTCTCAAAAAACGCTTTCCTGTTTTAATATACAAAGTAAAAAAGCTCTGAAAGAAATGATATCAATAATTATGCAGCCAACATTTTGCTTATCAGACAGTAATCTGACATTTTAAAATCTTAACCAATAAGGCGAGGAATGATGCATTTTGATTGGTTCTACTAAGAGGCTGCTAACCAGTGATAGCCTAGCTACCGGACGGCTATTGCCGTTATAATTTAGTGCTGCAAAACGTTATTTGAAGCATCGTTGGATAAAATCCTCAAAAAATAAATGGCATCTTTCCAAATATGCCAACAATCAGTGACAAAGACTGTCTAAGGGATATTTGTATATACTGGTAAAAAAAATAAATAAATAAAAACGAAAAGAACTTTTTTGTTTTCACTTTTTTCTCCACGTTGTTTGATTATAATACCACAGCCGATTGGCATCTGTTGAGCAAGGTTTGAATTGTGTCGCTGATTTTAAGGCATTGGTGAATTTTGTATTTTTTTGTTAGAAGTTTTTTTTCGCAGTTTTTGTCACTTTTCTAAACCGTTTAAAGTGCAGTTTTCTGGCATAAACGGTTCCGAGGATTATCTCATTCCAGTGCTGTCCGATATGTACACAGATATGGCAGAAAATATCCTTAATTTTAATTAACTCTTAATGTTGTAGTCCTCTATTTTTGGATGCCGTGTACTGTTTTTAGTAAATTTGCGAAATGCGTCATTGCCGTTTTAAGTAGACTAACAGTCAAACACTGAATTGATCTGTACGCTTTTACAGTCCTTTCAAATGAACATTAATATTGTTGAGGAACCGTTATTGCAGGGTTCAGTTGCTATGTGGTTGTTACTGCTTTTGGTTACTTTATGCGCTTTTTCTGTTTCCTGCATCGAATTGACTTTTGAATTGCCCGATAAAGAAGTCCAGTGTTTTTTTGAAGACATCAAAGTTAATGTTAAAACTGTCTTGGAATTCCAGGTATATTTGTTTGAACAAGACTTTGGTTTGATTTTTGGAGTGACTTTGAATTACTGCTGTAGTGCTTTGTTAATGTAAGGCAAATATATTTTTTCAAATCGTCTTTACAACTACTTATTCACCGTAGTGTTATCATATTAACTGGAGGATATTCTAACTGATGAATTTTTTTTTTTTGCAGAACAGATAAGAAGAATGACAATTTTCGTTCCCACTGCTTAACTTTGTTTTCTTTCTTTAAAATTATTTGTTGTCCTCACTCCACGTAGAATTGGGTTTTTTTATTTTGAGTAATAAGTTTCGTTTCATTAATGAGCGAAAATAAATAGTGTTTATGTCTTCCGTAGATTATGTAATATACAGGATATACTCTAACTGATCTCAAAATCTTTTAAAGTAGTTTTTTTTGGTGTGAGGAAACATTTAACTGTACTTTGTATATGTTTTCTTCGACGAAGGCAGATTATTTCAGTACGTAAATGGCTCAGTTCTTAAGCAGTTTCACATGTTTTTTTTTTTTTTT